CGTGGATGCCTATTGGTCCCGATTGATGCCACCAACCGGGACCAAAAAGTCTCCTGCCTGGGCTCCGCGCACAGGCCACGTGGAGGCCCATCTGTCCCGGTTCTGGATTGAACCGGGACTAAAGGGACAGGGTATTAGTACCGACCCTTTAGTCCCGGTTCCAGAACCGGGACAAAAGGCCCTTACGAACCGGGACTACAGGCCCTTTTTCTACCAGTGCCTCCTAAAAAAACAACAGGTTTAGTTCAGGTTAGAATATGGCTGGTCCCTTGGAAGCCTTCAAACAAGTTGGTACTTGCCTCTTATGATTGCTCTGGTTTGATTTTTGTGCAAAGACGTACTCCCGTCCGTGACCGAGAGATGCAAGTTTCAAATTAAGCCAGCTTCAAGCATAACATCAATCACCGAGCAGGAACAAACGTCAACATGCATCCAGTAATGGAGCAATCTTGTCACTAGCGCCATTCCAAATTGTTTAACTAGTAACGAATGTACCTATATTCTGCATATAACGCCCATATTATTCAGCAAACCGATCCAGGTCAGACTCCCAATTGCCGTCGATCACATGCAAGTTCACGAGCAAGAGAATGCATGCAAGCACGCTAATAATTCATTCCGATATTTCCCCTATAAATACCAGACTCAAGCACCACCCTCGGGGCATCACAAGCACTTAGCAACCTAGAGCTCCAGATCAGCTGATCAATAATCACTTTGTCTGTGCTTCTGCGGTGTAGTGATCAGATCACTCGCAGCAATGGCAGGCAAGGCATCCATCGCGCTGTTCCTCGCCGTGAACCTGGTCGTCTTCTCCGTGGCCAGCGCGTGCGGTGGAAACTGCCCGACCCCATCGACGCCCACACCGACCCCGGCCGCGTTCGGTAGGTGCCCACGCGACGCGGTGAAGATAGGCCTGTGCGTCAACGCGCTGAACCTGGTCAAGGCCGAGCTGGGCGCGCCGCCTACGCTGCCCTGCTGCCCGCTGGTGAAGGGGCTCGTCGACCTGGAGGCGGCCCTGTGCCTCTGCACGGTGCTTAAGGCCAACGTCCTCAACATCGTCAAGCTCAACCTCCCCATCGACCTCAGCGTCATCCTCAACGACTGCGGCAAGAAAGTGCCCACCGGATTCCAGTGCTAAGCGATCTCGGTCGACGGACGTGTGCCATGCTGCCCATGCATGCACGCATGCATTCCTTGCGTGGTCGCACGGTTGCATGAGTCCATGGTCGCACGGGCGTTATTCTGCTTGATCAATCCTTTTATTGCAGGTGTGTTTGTTTGTTTGGTTGCTATTCTACTTGACGTGCTAGCCACAAGTCTGCATGGATGTGCATGCATCCTACGGAGAGTACGTCTGTAGCCGGTTTAATCCTTTTTATCTTTCTTATTATAATCACTTCCTTTATTGGCGAGTTCTTTCATGGCGTGTGGCTTGTATCCGTTTTGTACAGTCAACATAATGAATAAAGTTTATTCTTACTTCGGGCTTCCGGTGCTGTGCTGCCATTTGTTTGTTTTTTTTCTTTTTGAGAAATTGCCATATGTTTTGTGATTTTCCTAGCAGGCTTTCAATGGTGAAGGAAGGTTTCGAGCGAACGTATAGGACCCGATAAGGAGTGAGCATCAGATTTCTACCGACTTAAAACCGAACGAATCGTTCCCCATGGCAGGGGGAGAGACCGAACATTTCGTTCAGCCTGGGAGGCCTCCCAGCGCGAACACTTTCAGAACGCTAATGAAGAACACAACAAAAAACATAAACAAAGACGCCAGCATTGGCCTGTTGCACAAGCTAGACCATTTTGGATACTAAAGCACGAAAAAATGCAGAAAAACCAGCTAAAACTGAGAAAAGCTTTGCAAATAAAAATGCCACAAAAATCTAGAAATTCATAGAAAAAAAGCTGATGAAAAAAAATATAAACATTGCCATTGTCCAACAAAAAACAAACATGCCGTACTAGAAAAAATAATTTTGCCATTGTTTAAATTAAATTTTGAGGTTGGACCAGAAACAAATTGTCGTGCTCACAAAAAGTTGCCACTGCCCATACAATAAATATACCATGATGTATAAAAAGTGAATATGCCATGACCATAAACTAAAATTTTCCTTGGCGACATGAATAGTAATTTTGCCATGTTGCAAAAAGAAAAGAAAATTTTGCCATGGTCCTAAAAAAAAGCATTGAAGGAAAAAATGTATAAGGTTGCCATGGTAGCCAAAAGTGGTGCAAATTTGTCATGATTGCAAACATGGTGAAAAATCATCATGATACATACACACTAATTCCCATGATGCTAAAAAAAGAACAAACTAAATTGCCATCGCTCTAAAAAAGTGAGTATTGCCATAAGAAGAATAATTTGGGCCATGCACAATAAGCTAAATTTACCATGATACAGAAAACTAAATTTAGCATGGTCAATTATGAAATTGACCATGATCCATAAACTAAATTTGACATGGTCAATTAATAAATTTACCATGGTTTGCTAAAATTTGCGATGTTCAATTATTAAATTTGCCATGATCCACCAAGTAATTTGCCACGGTCAATTCCTAAAATTTGAGATGGTCGAAAAAGTACTTCAAATTTGACATCACATTTCTATCAAAATTACTGTCTTGTGTGCAATATATTTGCCATGTATATGAAATAAGACAAAAAAAATCAAAATTGCCCTGGCCAATGTAGATCCGAATTTGCCATGGCATTTTTATCAAAATTGACATGCTTTATAAATAAAAATTGCCATGTACGTGAAATAACCCAAAAAATGATCAAAATTGTCATGGAAAATGCATATTCAAATTTGCCGTGGTATTTTTATCAAAATTTTCCATGCTTTATAAACATAAATTTACCATGTATGTGAAATACCACAAAAAATGATCAAAAATTTGCCATGCCAAATGCATATTTAAATTTGCCATGCTATTTCTATCAAAATTGCCATTTTTTGTGTAATGAATTTGCCGTGTATGTGAAATAACACAAACAATGATCAGAATTGCCATGCAAATGCACAAAAAATTTGTCGTGATATTTTTTTATCAATTTTTCATGATTTATAAACATAAATTTGCCATGTATCTGAAATAACACATAAAAATGATAAAAAATTTGCCATGGCAAATGCATATTCAAATTTTCCATGGTATGTTTTTTTATCAAATTTGCCATGCTTATCAAACGAAATTTTCCATGTATGTGAAATAGTTTTGTAATGGATTTTACCATGTGACCATTAATAATGAATGTCAAGTTATGGAGAAAAAGCCTACAGAAAAATGAATAATGTTAAGAATATGCCATGTGACAAATAAATGGAATTTGCCATATGAGAATAACGAATTTCCACATTATGAACACACTAAAAGAATAATTTACCATTATACATGGTAAAACCTTTATGAAATGCCATGGGTGAAAGAAAGTAAGTAGAGTACAAATTTGCCATGGAAAAAATCATCATTAGTTTATGTTGTGTCATTACAGAAAAATTGCTTAATAACTTGGGGATGGCACATATTGACAAAAAAGTTATATTCGGTATTTGTTCATGTGGTAAATTTCATATGTCATAGCAAAAATTTGCCATGGATGTAAAGTACTTTTGGCATGACAAAAAATAAGTGAAATTTCCATGTAAAGAATTATCATTAGTGAATAATTTTGGCATTAGCCAAGCTACATGAAACTAAGATTTGCCATGATCTATAAACTCAAATTGCCATAGTCAATTTACTAAACTTACCATGATCAATGAAAAAAAAATCCATGACATGTTAACTAAATTTGCCATGGTCAAAGTACTAAATTAACCATGATTAATGAAATAATTTTGCCATGGTTAATTAATGAAAATTTTCATGATTTGTAAACAAAATTTGGCACGGTTATTTGCTAAAAAGTACAAGTGGCTAAACACAGATCCTACCAATTATTAGTCGAAGATTGCTTGTCGCTCCTCATTCATAACCTATCAAAAAACTTGAACCATACATGCAAGGCGATAAGTACTAAACCCAAACATGCAGTGAATGGACTTGTATTGAATGGCAAAGAAAAAACAATTGAAGCAAAAGCATTGCATCTACTGAATCAAAAATGGAGCCGGACGGGATTGATCGATCAGACAATTGCCCTTCTAAAATTATTGCCAAAAAATCAGAAGGATTAACTACGGAGATGGATGCATCTTGTACCTCGAACAAGGGCCAGAAGGAGGGGGTCAACGTCCTTGAGTAAACTGTTGATCCACTCGGTGCAGCGCTCCTCGGCGTCATGGAACTTCATGTGCACCTGCACATCGGGCTCCCAGGCGCCGAGCAGCGCGTTCTCCACCTCCTGCTTGCGCATGACGAACTCCTCGGCGCCCTGCCACAGGTAGTAGGTAACAGCTGAAGGGTGCACCCTCGGCCGTGAGCCGCACGGCCTCCGCATAGCCCACCACATCTCAGCCATCGTGGTTGGCATCGCTGCACGCAGTGGCAGGGGTTTGGTCGCCAGGGATAAGACACGGGGGCATGGTGATAATGAGAAAGAGAGTGACAGTGAAAGAGAAGATGAAAAAAAAGAACTCGTTCGGTCACATCTCGTTAGCCACCAAACAAGCCAGAATGACGTGACACTGCCCTCCTTGTGCCAAGATGCATGCTCTATATCTGACTGCCCGAACCGGTGTTTGGGCCAGGACATTAGAAAACTGACGTACATGCGTTATCTTTCCCGAAAGTATATGGGCATTTGAAGATAAAAATTAATTAATTTACTAATGATATGGCTCATAGTTTGATTCCCGCTAAGTAATATAGTGTAGACTTAGCATTTATAACACCAAAATTATTCTGCACCTCATAACATGGACGAGGATTTGTGGCTGCGGGTCTCAGGGTACATGATGAGCGGTTACTAGTTTATGTAATTATGCAATGAGATGTGCAATGTGGTGTTTAGTTACTAATGAAATAGGTGTTTAGTTCAATTATGCAATGATGTTTTCTAAGTATATTTTGTTGTGCTACAGACAAAGCATGTTTTTGTTCTGTAGATAGAGCATGTCACATCGCACATGATTCACCTTGCAAAAACATGTGCGATTGTTAACCCCATCGCACGCAGTTCCTTTAGTTCAATCGTCTGCCCACTGGAGCACACCATTCTCACCATACAATCGTGTGTGTTGCCCTGTGTTATCGCACACGCTTTATACTTGCGAAACCGTGTGTGAAACTTCATACATGGTGGACAGATTATGCAACGTTTGCGATGTTTCCCATCATCAAAGACAATTCATTTCTAACAACCGTTTGCCAAGCAACGCAAATAATTCGTTCGTCAAAATCCTATGTGTTATTTGGACTTATCTCACACAATTCTTGAGGAACTGTGTGCTCCATATCACACACACACACACACGCGCGCGCGCGCATCTCTCAAATCGTGCTCAATGGACCAATCATTGCACACGTTTCATTGTGGGCAGGCGGTTATATTTTTGTAATATGTGCGATCCATCAATCGTACATAGTTCGATTTTAGGGGCTGCGATAGATGTATCTTGGCACTATAATTCGGCACTAGTGTCAGAAAAATAGATAGGCACCAAAATGGCCTTTTAGAAGCTCAAGAATGAGCGGAGTGCTAAAGATGCTAGCGGATGCAGATTCTCTTAAATTAAATCACCTGACTTTGGCAATTGAAGTTGAGCAACCAAAGTAATGTGAAGCTAATACTAGTCAACATTGCGTCCCTAAAAAAACTACTCAAACACTGCCGACACGGGTAGATGTGCACAATTCATCGATATCACATACACAAAATACAAGCAAATGTACACATCGATAGCTGCCACACACACAATTGCATGACCAAACACGTCCGATGGATTTTAGTTAAACAGCAAACAATCAGCCCATGGTGGCAACGATCACAGGACGCAACAGATCTATTGGTGTAGGGGCGCGTAGTGATTTTGTTATTTTATACGTTGATGAGAAGCCGGCTGGACAGCGACGGATCGACCGGTGACGTACCAAAGCAAATGTTTGGGACCCCTCAAAAAAAAAAAAGCAAATGTTTGGGAAACTTGGTAGATCAATGAAGACAACTCAACACATCATCATTATCTTTTGGTCGGTCCAACAGTATAGTTTGAAATCGTACGTCCCGTGACTTTCCGAGTGCCCCCACACACGTACCAGGGCCGGCTTTCTGGTCCGGGAGTCCCAGCGCCGTCCACATAATCTTTTTTTGATACTATAATACCCGTATCTATTAAAAAAACTAAACAGTTCTGAGTTGCTACAGAAGTTAAATAGGAGTAGTACTATGGATCGCTATAGAAGGTCTTTTGTTTTGCATGAGTTGTTTAAAAACACTTATGATTGTGGTCGTCAACTCTGTGCAAAGAAAAAATATGTCTAAGTAGTTTGTGTGATCGTAGCCTTTTGCAAGAACCACGAGGCATGCAAGTGAGAACTGCAAGATTCCTGCTACGAGGTGCAGCTTATGTCTTCGGTAGAAAGGAAGGATGGGCGCCAGCGGTTTTGCCGCTTGCTGGTTGAAGGAATTGGCCGTTTTGAGTTGATTATACGGTACCTTCATTTAGGCTTATGGTCTGCTTATTTTGTGATGGTGGTTTGTAAAGGTTTCTAGGTTGAACTGATATAAATAGTGAGAGTTATTCATCTTTAAGGTTGTCCTTTTGTTCTTGATATGTATATATATCATAATTTTGGAACCATACTCGAGGGAATGGTCCTGGTGGGATAGTTTCATCAATTTCATTGGGGAAATTATTA